AAGTATGGTTATTTATTTTTCAAATTTTGAGACAGGGTCTCACTAAAGTTGCTCAGGGTCTCAATAAGTTGCTGAGACTGGCCTCAAACTTGTGATCCTCCTGCCTCGGCCTCTAAATTGGTAAGATCAGAGGTGTGAGCCACTGTACCTGGTATGTTTTAATTTCTTTCTTACTATATTTGGCTTGTTTATTATGTATTTAATTTTTTTTAGTTATAGATGGACACAATACCTTTATTTTTTAAATTTATTTTTATGTGGTGCTGAGGATCAAACCCGGTGCCTCACACATGCTAGGCAAGCGCTCAACCACTGAGCTACAACCCCAGCCAGMCCTATTATGTATTTTTGCTTTGTGGTTACCATGAAGTTTACAAAAGACTATCTTTYATTTTCCATTTATTTATTTATTTTTAGGTATCAATGGACATTTATTTTATTTATTTACATGTGGTGCTCAAACCRGCCTCACACATACTAGGCAAGTGCTCTACCACTGAGTCAGTACCCCAGCCCACAAAAGACATCTTTAATATTTTAAAGTGATAGTATCATAACATAATCATAAATAAAATAAAATAAAACAAAAAAATCCATGACATTGAATTTAGCAATGCTTTCTTGGTTATGACACTAAAAGCAAGGTAACAAAAGAAAAAAGGTAAGAGTAGGTAAGACTGACTACATAAAAATTAAAAACTTCTGTACATCAATGTACAGTATCAACAGAATGAAAAGGCAACTTGTGGAATGGAATGGGACAAAGTATTTGCAAATCACGTACCTAACATGGGGTTAATATGCAGAATATATAAAGAACTCTTATAATTCAACAACAGAAAATCAACACAATTTAAAAGTGGGCAAAAATAGACATTTTTCCAAAGAAGATAGACAATGACCAATAAGCACATGAAAAGATGCTAAAAACATGACTATTGTTAGGAAAATGCAAATCAAATCATTGAGTATCACTACACACCTACTAAGATGACTATTATTACAAAATAAACATAAAGTAGTAAGTGATGGCAAGGGTGTAGAAAAATTTGAACMCTTGTGCACTGGTAACAGGAATGTAAAATGGTACAGCTACTGTAGAAACAGTATGCCAGTTTCTCAAAAATTTAAAATAGAATTATCTTTTAATCCAACAATTCCACTTCTTAAATTCTACTCCTCCAAAATGAAAGCAGATACTCAAATAGTTAATTTGTACAATCATGTGCACAGCAGCATTATTCATACAGATGAAATGTGGAGGCAACTAAAGTGTTCATTAACAGAAGAATAAACAGAATGTAGTATCTGTATACAATATTATTCAGCCTTAAAAAGGTAGGAATTTCTGTTGTAGCATGCTACGACATGGATGAACCTTTAGGACATTACATTAAGTGAAATAAATGAATCATAAAAGGACAAATACTTTATGATTCCACTTACATGCAGTACATTTACAAGTCAATATCATAGAGACAGAAAAAATGATTGCTAGAGTTTGGTGAGAGTGAGGATGGGGAGTTATTTAATGGGTATGAATATGAGTTTTGGAACAAAAAAGTCTGGAGACGGATGATGGTGGTGGTTTCACAACAATGTGAATGTACCTAATGTTAATAAACTAACTGTACATTTAAAAATAGTACACTTTAGGGCTGGGGATATAGCTCAGTTGGTAGAGTGCCTGCCTTGAATGCACAAGGCCCTAGGTTCAATCCCCAGCACCACCAAAAAAAAAAAAAAAAAAAAGGTAAACTTTAGCTGGGCAAAGTGGTATATGCCTATAATCTCAGTGGCTCAGGAGGCTGAGGCAGGAGGATTGTGAGTTCAATGATAGCCCCAGAAACTTAATGAGGCCCTCAGCAACTTAGTGAGACCCTGACTCTAAATAAAATACAAAAAATGGCTGAGGATGTGTCTCAGTGGTTAAGTGTCCCGGGGTTCAAACCCTGGTACCCCCCTACCCCACCAAAGTAAACTTCATGTTTTACCACATTTTTTTTTCTTAAAGGAACATTTACYGTGACTACTCCGTGTATTCACGAGTGAATTTATTTATTTATTTAAAATATTTTTGTAGTTGATAGACCTTTATTTTTTTTATTTATTCATACATGGTGCTGGGAATCTAAMCCAGTGCCTCACATATTCCAAGCAAGTGCGCTACAACTGAGACACAGCGTCAGCCCCATGAGTGAATTTATTTTTAAAATATTTCATTAGCTTTGCCTAGGATCCTATTTCTTTCCTTAGAAAGCTTGGATAGTAAACTCATGCTAAAATTAGCATGGTAAATAAGCTAATGTAATAGAAAACCACTTTTAAGAAAAATTCATTTAATGCAACATATATGGTGTTTTTTTTTTTTTTTTGTGTGTGTGTGTGTTTTACCATAATTTTTAAAAATCCACTTGGCAGAACAAAACAAATAATATCTGTCACGAGTTTCCACCAAAATCCTCATTCACTGGGCTTTTACCACGTGCTCTGAGTGTAATAGCTGACTCAATCATTTATTCAATAATATTACATGCCTAGGCATATTTTCAAGTTCTTGAAATGTACCAGTGAAAACAAAGATCCCAGTTCCTTATGGAGCTTAAATTCTAGTAGTAGGAGGGAATAGAAAACAATGTAGATGGTATGCTAGAAAGTATGTCATGATGAAAGTAGAAAACAGTAGAGAATGGTAATGTGCAAGTGCTGAGAAGGACAGTATACTTGTAAATGCTAGAAAAGGTGGCCAAAGAGAGCTTCAACGAAAAGGTAGTATCTGAATCAAGATTTATTAAAGTTTAAMTAGAGATCATCATGTGGTCAGATGTTTAGATATGTAAAACATTAAAAATGAAGTTGCTATGAACAAAGACAGGGAAGGCACCAAGAGAAGCATGTTTGTGAAAGATTAGGTATTTGATGTTAGACATATTGTGTTAGATGTACTCATCAGATATTCAAGTTGAAATGTCAAATAGGTAGTTGGATAAAGGAGCCTGGAGTTCTGGAAAGAGATGTGGCTAGAGAAACAAATCAGCATATAAATAGTATTTGAAGCTATGAAACTCTCCCAGAGGAGTATAGACAAAAGAAAAAGAAAAGACGTCAGGGACTAAGACCTGGGACAACACAACATTAAAATGATGGGAAAACAGGAAGTCTCAGCAAAGGAAACTGAAGTAGAATGACCAAACAGGCAGGGAGAGGCAGGAGGAAAACCAGAGACCTCATCTGAATGTGGATTCATCTACTACTACTACTACTACTACTACTACTACTACTACTACTTCTTTAACCTTGTGAAAATTACTTTCTCTCTCCACACCTTGATTTTCCTTGTATGCTGTTTACAATAAACATAATACCCATTATCTCATCTAAGAATTAAGTATAGGAAAATGGTTAGCACATGGAGTGTTGGAACTCTTTAAGTGCTCAATAAATGGTAGTTATTATTATGATTAAAAACAATAAACCCTCCTAGGCTATAGTCATTTACTCTATCACTTTACTTAACTATTTCTCTATCAACTAGCTCTTTGTCAAAATGTCTATTTGCTTATTTTCAAACATGCCCTGTATTTCCTGTCTCCCAGCCTGGTTCAGATTACTCTCTTAGTGTCACATAATATCTCTTTTCATATCTACTTGCTAAAATTCTAGCCCATTCTTTCGAAGCATACCACAAAAGCCATCTTTGGCTTTGAAATCACTCAAAATTTACCCTTAATGTGACCTCCTTTCTTTTACATCTTTAATGTTTTAATCCACTCTCATGGCACTTACCACTTCCTTAGTGTGGGCAATCAAGAGTTAATTATATTCTCCTTTTATTTTATTAAGTTATCTTCTCAAATTACCTAATATCCCCAGCAATATATTAATTCATCAGTTTAATAACAAGGATCTAAAAAAGATGCACATGTGTTTTTAAAAAGGTATGATTTAACCACTATTACTACAAGTTTTTTGGAATTTTCATTTGCTCTTATTCTACATTGTTTAAATCAATACCTGACATTACATCAAATCTTGTTTACTATACATCTGCCTTTTATATTCCTCACTCTCGCTACTCCTATTGAGAGTTAATTTTCAACCTCGAAACAAATAACACACTGTGYTAAATCTCATTATAATCTGTTCAATATAAGAAATCCAAGTTCTTAAGGCATTTCTACTACTCTATCTATGCTCATAATTCTTAATTTGTTGCACTCAGCAACACAGAAAAACAAAGCATCCTACTTTCAGCATGACATAAAAGTATTAACATGTTTGTGTTTATTTTCCTTTAATTTCCTGCTCTGCTACACAGTAGCYGGCTTGTTTATCTGTTTTATTATTAAATAAACAATGGGGAAGAAGCAGAGTTACTTAGTGAAAAAAAAGCTTTAAACTCCATCAGTCCTAGATTTGAATCTAGTAAACTGCTGGTCTACCTGGAACAAACCTGTTGAACTATATTAAGTAACTTAATATTTCTGGTCCTCAGTTTCTAGATGTTTGAAGTGGAAATATTAAGARGTCATTAAAAAATGAAAAATTAGATAATACAAATAAAGTATGAAGATTGTATGCTAAAATAACATTTAGCTTTTCTCTGTATTATTAACAGAATCTTTTCACATTTATAAAACAATTTTCATTATCTGTTTGAAGTCACTATCTTTTCACTTAGCCCAACATCTATAAGAGTCAATGCTGACTTAAGTAACACTATCTTTTATAAAGCAAAAAATTATTATTGGTTGTACAAATATTGGTTATAGTATATATTCTAGAAAGATCTTTAACCTTAGAAATAACAGRGATAATGAAAAATACAAGGAGAAAGTGATAAACAAATGATTGACACTATTATTATTGGTAAGTTATAATTAGACAGAACTGTGCAATAATTTTAAATCCATAATTAACCGGACCAAAATATAGAGACAAAAATATTAAAGGGTAATTAATGTTTCATATTCAGTAAATTTGATTAATTATTTCTTTACCTGAATCATTTGCTGCAATAACAATTGTCCCACCAGGAGCAAAAGGATCATTGTGCTTCAATGTTTCTACCTAAACAAATTACACAAATCCATGACTAAGAGATACAACATTTCATAGCTGAAACTTAACTTTAACTCTCAAGAAAATATTCTTTACAAATTCTAAATTAATTCAAGAACACAAATATTAGGAACAAATGTTTTCCCCTACTGATCTTCAGTCTTATTAAGTGGAAATGATACATATTATTTTTTAATTAATTCTTGAACTGTGCAACATCCATTCCAAAGAGTACATGAAATGTACATATGGTTTAATAAKTAAGTATTAGATGAACATCCATGTAATCATTTCCCAAGAAGTTGCCAACACCTCAGAAGATGTCACGTGCCCCTCTCCAATTACAACCCCATTCCTCCTCTGCTGAGGTGATTATTACCATGATTTTGGTGGTACTCATTTCTTCATAGCATTGCTACTTGTACAGTTGCAAGCTATTTTAACTATTTGTTCTGAAATAATTTAAACAGACAGAAGACTTGTAAAGATAACAGTTACCATACACCCTTCACCTAGCATCCTCTAATGTTACTATTTCATATAATCATAGAACATCTGTTAAAACTGGGGAATTAATATTAGTACAAAATTATAAAGCATGGACTTTATTTGGATTTTACCAGTTTTTCCATTAATGTTCTTTTTCTACTTCAGGATATCATGKTGTATTCAGGATGCACACTATTTTCATAGATTTCCTGGAACTTCATATCATAAAATCCTTTGTTTTTATTTCCTAATTGTTACCTAAAAATAATTCTAGCATTCTGTGCCTCAGAGGAAACACACAGCTTTCGTGAAAAAGAAAAATGCTGCTTTTGATAATAAACTATGTGAAAGTTTGGAATCAAGTTGCACAATTAGTGGATATAAGAGGTGAGGATTTTACCTGTCAATCAACTGCCCCTATCTCAGTCCAGTTTACTTATACAACATGAAACTACTGTCTCAAAAACTAAGTCTCCAAATAAAAAGAAAGATACAAACAAGCAAAAAAACTCTCAGTCCATCCACAACTATTGAAATTGTGTGACAGATACATGGAGGAGGTTTGTTACTTCGTTTTGAGTACTTTGAAATATCTATAATATAAAGGTCATCAGATAATAAAGCACTCACCTGTATGACCTTAGGCATGTTAAGTTAGTATTTTTTTTTAGTCCCATATTTTATTTTTGAAATGAAGATACCAAAACCTACCTTTTGATGTGAAGATCACAAATAATAAATGACAAACACATAGAAACACTTGGGTCATAGTATGTGGTTATTAAAATAGTGGTTGTTATTGCAGATATGTATATACTCAAGAAAGCTTGACATTTAGTGRGAATTTGTATTTCTATACAAGATTAATATTCCAGATGTCTCCATTGTTCCTTTTACAGTAATTTTCAATAATATACCAAATATTTCTGGCAAGATTTACTTAAGACTGGTTTTTGGATTTCTAGTCATTTATTTTTAATATCCTGAATGGGATAAAATTTGATTCCTTCTCAAGGATGAACTTAATTTTTGAACACTATAAGTCAGTATACTCAATTGTTAGTGGTTGATCAAACTATGAATAACAAACCTGAACCAAAAACTAAATGGATTGAGATGAGACAGAATTCTTATTTTCTCCTCAAAACTGGGAATTGAATCCAGGGTACTCTACCTCTGATCTACTCAGATCWTTTGATTTTTCTATGTTAAGACAGGGAATTGCTAAGTTGACTGGCCTCAAACAAAGAGTCCTCCTGCCTTAGATATCCAAGTAGCTGGGATTATAGGCATGCACCAAGGTTCTGGATGAGATAGAAATTCTTATATTACCCATTAGTAATAATCTAAGGGATGATTCTTTCATCACTATACATTTCAAGAAATTCACTTAGGACATTAGTTATCCACTCAAATTAACAGTTTTAAATCCTCCCACTTACTGATGTATTATTGCTCTGGCTGGATGCACTAAAAGGGTCATTACTTAAAGTGGCAAAAGGATCAGTAGAAGATTGCTTGAAGAAAGAGTCAGATGCAAATGGATCTGAACCTTTGAAAGGATCACCACCAAATGGATCTAAGAAAATAAAGCACAAATAAAATAAAATAAATTAAAAACATTATCACCTGAAGACAGGCATCACAATTGCCTTAATTAAAAGACATTTTTGAAGTCTTGCAGAATCTAAAATACGTGATGAGATATAGAGCTTTTCACCTACTAAACTTACTTTTAAAATTAGCACATAATTTTAAGAGATCTAATTTTCATTGCCCTTATTCTATGCTATCATAACTAAAGGAAACAGCAACAAAAACTTAAATATATTTCCCTTTCTGAGTTTAAAGCTAACAGCCAATACTTTGGAACAGGTTCAGGAAACAAAACTAAATTACAAGATTGCTTTATTCTAATGAAAAATCCCAGAAAAAGAATACCTTAAAGAGCAATACTGAGTAATTCTTCAAGATGTTTCCTTTTTCCCCATTCGMATGAATAGGCTATAATCTTAGGAAAATAAAATTATATTCTAACCCTGTAGTATGTAGATTCATTATGCTCATCTAATCTTTAGCTAGAGAGATTAGAGCCAATAGTATTTAAAGCAATATTAAAGATTATTAAAAAGTAAAACTGGGACTGGAGGTATAGTTCTCCTAGCATATGTGAGGTTATGGGTTCGATCTCCAGCACCACAAATACACAAGCACACACACAGTACAGCTAACAGTTTATTAAGCAAATTCACAAGAACCTATGACTCTCTTACTGAAAATGCCAGGCATATGCAGCATCTTATTTTAGACTATGGCTGTAAAGCAGCTTCAACTCAATAAATAGGAAGCTTATTTCCTATAACTCTCCAAAACTGTTAACTCTCCTAAATACAAAATAAACCTACAATAAGCAGAATTGAATTAAARCTAAGATGTAATGCAATAATGTACTGACCAATTTTCCCAAAAGGATCATCCTTGAAAGGATCACCTGGATAAAATAAGGAGAAACCAAAATAACAAAATTTATTTTTGTGACACCATTACTTAAAGGATAACTTTTTAAAAAAGGGTAACTCTTAAAAAACTTTCATGTTAAACAAAAGTCAAATTTTTTAAAGCTCAGTTAGTTTCAATAACTCTACCTCCAATCAAATAAAATTATGAATGTTATTCACCTTAGGAAATATTTAAAATAATAAAGAATTTTTTAAAATAAAAGATAAAGGCTGAACTGAAATACACCTCAAAAGAGACAAATTTGAAACAGAACCTACTATACTTACCTTGACCACAAGCAGAAGTTACAAATAAAGGGGAAGATGGGCACAACAGCATTAATTTTACTAAAAAATATCTACAGAAATGAAGACACTGAGCTTCACTGAATCAAAGGAGAGAGAGAGAGAGAGAGAGAGAGAGAGAGAGAGAGAGAGAGAGAGAAACTGAGAAGTCCAGAGGCAAACCCTTATTTTTATGGCCATTTGATTTCTGACAAGAGTACCAACAATACACAGTGCAGAAACAACAGTCTTTGCAACAAAGTTTGGGGACAACACAACCCCTACACCTCATATCATATAAAAAAAATCTAAATCTAACAGAACTATAAAACTCTTGGAAGAAGAAAAAAATAAATTGAACTTTACCCAATTTAGGAATCTTTGTGCTTAATAGCACATGAAGAAAATAACAGACAACATAGAATGCCAAGAAAATATTGCAAATCATATATTTCATAAGAGAATTATTATTTAGAATATGTATAGCTCTCATAAATCAATAACAAAAAGGCAAACCAAATATAAAATGGGCAAAAAGATTTGATGCTCAACATTTGTGAACAAATTTTTGTGTGAATGTTTTCATTTCTGAGTGTATTATTGGTTCTTACAATAATTTTTGTTTAATTAGTAATTCTGCTTAATTGGTGGAGGAACTGTCAGACTGTTTTCCAAAGAGACTGCACAGTTTTACAGTCCCACCAGTAGTGTATGTGGGTTGCAATTTCTCCATATCCTTGTCAACACCTGTTATTATCTATACTTTTGATTATATGCATTCTAGTAGGTATAAAGCAATAGATTTTTGGGGGGTTGACCAGTATTAGGTATTTTTTCTATGTGTTTATTGGTTATTTGTATATCTACTTTAGTGAAATGTTTATTTAAATCATTTTGTCCATTTTGCAATAGGGCTGGGCGTTGGGAGATAGAAAGTGACTGTTATTAGGTATGAAGTTTATACAGTGATAAAAACTTTTCCAAAATTAGATTGTGGGGATGATTATAAAACCATAAACATACTAAAACTATTAAATTATATATAATGTTTTTATTATTTCACTTTATTTTTTGCAATGCTGGGGATCAAACCCAGGACCTAGACCATACTAGGCAAGAACTCTTGCCATTAACTACACTCCCAACCCCAACATTTTAAATGCACAACTTTTATATCTTTTGACACTTTATATATATTTATACATATATACATACATACATACACACACACACATATATATACATATATATTACACATATCAATAAAGCTGTTTTTAAAAAAAGAGTTCTAGCCGGGCATGGTGGTGCAACCCTGTAATCCCAGTGGAAGCTGGGGCAGGAGGATCACAATTTCAAAGGCAGCCTCAGCAAATTAGCGAGGCTTTTAATAACTCAGTGAGATCCTGTCCCTAAATAAAATACAAAAAAAAAAAAAAGGTCTGGAGATGTGGCTCAGTGGTTAAGCACTCCTGTTCACTCCCAATACACCCAATACCCACACCCTTCAAAAAATAATTTTAGTATCTGGGCTATCTCTGATATAACTTTAAGTTATTCTGCCTTTGTGCCTTAAGTTTCACATCTTTAAAACTAATAATCAAACTCATCAGTTTCACAATTAATTTTGGAAATAAAATACAATGTCAAAGAGCTTTGACCCAAGTAATATTTAAAGTACTTTACATTGATATCAACTAATTCTTGGCTAACTTCAGAATGTCTTACCCTTGAGCCYAGTATGGTGGCGTATGCCTGTAATACCAGTGACTCCAGTGGCCGAGGCAGAAGGATTTTGAGTTCAAAGTCAGTCTCAGCCTTACTGAGGCCCTAAGCAACTTGGCGAGACCCTGTCTCTAAATCAAATATTAGAAAAAGGGCTGGGGATGTGGCTCAGTGGTCAAATGCCTCCGGGTTCAATCCAGGTACCAAAAAAAAAAAAAAAAAGTGTCCAACCTCCACAATCTCCACTAGTTGCCTATAACATTTTTCCTTTGGTTCTTATTCTGAAAAAGAAACATACTCTTTTTTTTTTTAAGTTGTTGATAGACTTTTATTTTATTTCTTTGTATGTGGTGCAAACCCAGCGCCCCACACATGCCAGGCAAGCTCAYCACCACTGAGCCCCAACCCCAACCCCAAGAAACATACTCTTAATTAGGGACCCTTAAGACATAATCAAAGATTTAGTCCTGGATTTAGTTGCCTGTGGCAGATAAATATTAGCAAACTTAAGACTATAAGTGTTTGTTTTCACTTTCTTATAATGAGTATGCTCTCAATGAAGTCCTAATTCTTACATAGTTTACATGCTAAAAAGTCTTTTTGGGTAAACTTAAACTTATAATATTAAAAAATGATACTTGGGGGGCTGGGGACGTGGCTCAGTGGTAGAGCACTTGCCTGGCATATATGAGGCACAGGTTCGATTCTCAGCACCATGTATAAATAAATAAAGATCCATTGACACGTAAAATATTTTTTAAAAAAAAGATACTTGGAGCTGGGGTTGTGGCTCAGCGATAGAGTGCTTGCCTTGCATGTGTGAGGTACTGGGCTCAATCCTCAGCACCACATAAAAATAAATAAATAAAATAAAGGTTTTGTGTCCAACTACAACAACAACAACAAAATGATACTTACTGCCAACAAAAGGATCAGATTGGAAAAAATCCAAGTTTGTATCTGCAACTGGACCTGTCAGTGAACTTGATTCTGATTTAAATGGATCTTCCTAAAAATAATTTTAAATTAAAAAAAAATTTTAGGAACCAAGGTTTTAAAATACAACATTTTAAAATAAAATAATGCATGTTTAAATCATACCCATGCTTTAAAATAACAAATATTATATTTTTGCAGTCATAAAGAACATTTAACACATTAGTGATAAGAGTACTTAAATATAAAATTATTTACCTCTTTTGCATGTTTGTCATTGTCAAATTCAGGACAAACTTTCTCATTAACAGATGCAGTTACCACTTCATTTTCATCAATCACATCAGGTGATATTTCAGGACTACTTCTTGCTGGAGACTCCGGATGTATGGGCTCGGACTCCAGGTTGTTCTGGCCTTCAACCTGTTCATTAAGGTTGGCTGTTTCACTGCTGCTCGTACTGAGGCTGCAATAACCTGTAGCACCATTTACAAGAATGCTGTGTGGACTACTGCACCAATTTGACTGATTATTATGATTCTCCAGCTCTTTCATTTCCATGAGTCTCATTTGCATTGAACTGATCTCCTGCTGTGAATCTTGTAGGTGCTGTTGAAGAGGTTCCAGCTGAGCCTTCCCTGACTCCACACTCTCCTCCAATTCTGCTNTAACATTTATTTTTGATTTAGTAAATACATAAAATTTCATATACACTCACACACTTTTTTTTTTTTTGAAGTGGCACTAGGGATCAAATTCAGGTCCTTGCCCTCACTATGTTAGTGCTCTACCACTGAACTATCCCCTTCACCCCACTTATAAAATATTACTGCTACAGACTACAYTGTCCTTTTCTACCTGGCAGAGAAAACTAACAAAGGAAACTCAAACTTTATTAAAAAACAACAACAAAAAGACAAACATAATATACTCATTGAATGATTTCTTCTCCTATAATCTATCTTAGAAAAATGGTGTCATCAAGCATCAAAGTCACTTAAGCCAGAAGTGTTCAGGTCATCTTTAGCCACTTCCTATTTTGGTTATCCTTCAGCTAAAATAAGAGTCCAAGTCTTGCTCTTTCTACCTCTTTTTCTCAAATTCTTCTTTTTCCTTTTCTTCATCCAGACAGTCACTGTCACTCATTATATAATCATCATCTATGATCCAGACTGTAGGAGTAGCCTTCCACCTGCCTTCCTGCCTCCAATATTGTACTCTTTCAATCTACCCTCCTTTATAGTAGCCAAAGTAAGAGATCTAAAATGTGAATCTTATAATGGTCTTTCTGGTTAAAGTTCTTCAACAACTCTTCACTGCTTTCTTGATTTAGATCGTTAGTAAAAAGTCTTACTAATACCAGCAGTTTGATGTGTTTAAAGGATAATCCAGTAATCTGACTTTTGTGCTTAAAAGAATATTAAATCATGTATCTATGACTTCATTGTCTAAATATAATGAAGTCTCTAAGTTTTACATTTTTTTTAAAGAGAGAGAGAGAGAGAGAGAAAAAAAGAATTTTTTTAATATTTTTTTTTTTTAGTTTTCAGTGGACAAAACATCTTTATTTCTATGTGGTGCTGAGGATCGAACCCAGCACCGCCCACACATGCCAGGCTAGCGCGCTACAGCTTGAGCCACATCCCCAGCCCTAAGTTTTACATCTTTAATACCTCTTAAATTTGTCGTCTTCTCACAATTCCTTCTGTAACTGCTTTAAATTTAGGCTAAAACAACTCTCACAGGTTCTCAATAGCACCTTTATGTGTTCAGCCCCACTCTCCACTTCCCCCATTTCTAAAAGGTAAATTTAATCATCTTATTTCTCATTTTAAATTCTTCAATGGCTACTCATGGCAGTAAGATAAATTCCATAATGCTTCAAGATGAAGCTAAATTTCTTATCCTCTGGCCAGGTATGATCTATAAGTAATTTTTTTCCAGTTTGATCCACACATCAAAATCATGCATAGAATTTGTTTTAAAAATACATGTACCTGGTTCCATTTCAGAAACTACTTCAGCAAGTTTGGGGTAGAACATATTACATGTGTGTTTTGAGAAAGTACTTAAGAAAATGCAGATGCCCACTAGGAGAGAGACTTACCTCTTGCTAATATCTTCCTCACCATCACAAGATGTCCTCAAAACCTCTCATGATTCATGATTCTAAACAGATGTTTTCTTCTACTTGTATCCATGCTATACTGATTCTCTGACAGGAATGTACCACCTTTTTCTTTGCTCAACCCTTATTTACTTGCCAAAGCTTTCCCTACAAAGCTTTTTTGAGTGCCTTTTAGCTGTCCTATCTGAAAAGACTATGTTTCTTTTATCAGTCTTTTAACACAGTGTCATGCTACTAGACTATAGGCTGCTTAAAGGAAAAAGTTAAAGATACTTTATCTCTATAGCCCTCACATATAGTTGGCACAATCTAAATAACTAGTAAAAATCAATGTCCTCAATATTATAATATTATATAATAAAGAATTACTTTCAGCTTTGAATGAGAGTAACTAAAAAACTTCTGATATTAGTTTTTTTTTTTTCTTTTTCTTTCAGTACTGGGGCAAATCCAGGAACTCTCACATGCTAGGCAAGCTCTTTATCACACTGCTATCCCCTCAGCTACTTAAAAAAWTTTTTTTTTAAAGTTAATATCTAAGTCAGGTTGAGGTGCAGCAGCATCTGCTTATTGTAAGATAAATTCTCAACAACTCAAAAAGCTGAAATAGGAGGACTACCTGAGAACATGAGTTATAGACTACCCTGAGCAACATAGTGAGACTCCATCACACAGAAACACATACACACACACACACACAAATTTCCTTTAGAAGTATTGTTTTTTAAATATGTTCTACAAGCCATTAAAATTACATTTCAGGAGCTGGGCAAGTGGTGCATGCCTGTAATCTCAGGAGGCTGAGGCATGAGGATTAGAAGTTTGAGGCCAGCCTCAACAAYTTAGTGAGACCCTGTCCCAAAATAAAAAATAAAAAGGTCTAGGGATGTAGCWCAAGTGGTAAAGTGCTCCTTGGTTCAATCCCCAGTAACCWCCTTTAAAATAAATAAGTAAGTAAATAAACAAATAAATAATTTTAAAAATAAATGAAATTACATTTTAATACTAGTTAAAGCTGTGAGTCTTATTGTATCAAAACTCACTCTCTGCCTCTAAAAAAGAAATCTCAATAGTCCTCAGGGCATACTAACATATTTATATTAGGTATGATGCCAACAAAAGTTTTATTTGCATCCATCTTTTTTTCTGAAGTTGATTATGAAGGTATTAGACTCACTGGAGACTCCTGATGTATGGGCTCGGACTCCAGGTTGTTCTGGCCTTCAACCTGTTCATTAAGGTTGGCTGTTTCACTGCTGCTCGTACTGAGGCTGCAATAATCTGTAGCACCATTTACAAGAATGCTGTGTGGACTACTGCACCAATTTGACTGATTATTATGATTTTCCAGCTCTTTCATTTCCATGAGTCTCATTTGCATCTGTCAACACAAAGTAAAATTACAAAACAACTTATTAGTAGAAAGACATGCAACATAAAAATAATTATATCCTTAGATTTGGTMAAAAACAAATTTGCTCTTCACCAGGAGAATCCTCTGGGAATATAGCATGACTTAGRGAAAAGATTTCAGTAATCTCTCTCTAGTACACATGATTTCTTTTTTTGTTGGGGTATTTTTTGAAATTTCCCAAGAATTTCGATTCTTACAAATTGCAAAGAATCTGTGAACTAGCAGTATTTTGTGGCAGAAGTAGAAAAAGAAGGGCCAGAATACTGGAAGGAAAGATAGCAATATGACAGAGAAAAAGAATACTCAGTGACAGTACTTTATTATATAATAGAGATACAGAAGTTGAGGGAGAGACAAGACTTTGGAAGCAGCTGTACTCTACTGGGAAAGGAGAGTGAAGATAAGGGTCCTATACTATGTAAATGGGTTAGAGCCCTAGAAARTATTGTCTAAATCTAAGTTGTGCTGAGCATGTTAAATAAAGAGCACTTGAAGCATGTATTTTTTTTTCTTTCTTTTTATGATGGGGTGTACAGGGCTTGAACCCAGGATGTTATACCTCTGAGCTACATCCCCAGTCATATTTATTTTTATTTTATTTTGAGACAGCATCTCCCTAAGTTGCTGAGGCTGGCCATGAACTTGTGATCCTCCTGCCTCGGCCTCCTGAGCCACYGGGATTGTAGGCATGCACCACCAYACCCAGCTCAATGTGGTTTGTTTTGTTTTGTTTTTGTTTTTTATGGTGCTGGGGATTGAACCCAGGGCCTTGTGCATGTGACACAAGCACTCTACCAATTGAGCTATATTCCCAGCCCCCAAAGTGTTTTTGATTTCATTATCCAAATGAATTTATACTCCTGGAACAATAATAAGATCCATAAGACAGAATTCAATAAATTGTAATATATTATAAAAGCTAGATGCTATATGGGACCATGAATAGAAGAACAAAATACTAACATCTATTTTTATTTATTTTGCATTACAATTYTTTTAAACATTTATTTATTTATGTATCTTTAGTTTTAGGCGGACACATTATTTTGTTTTTATGTGGTATTGAGGATCGAACCCAGTGCCTCATGCATGCTAGGCGAGCGCGCTACCATTGAGCCACAATCCCAGCCCCTATAATTCTTATTATACATATAGAGCACAATTTTTCATATCTCTGTTTGTATATAAAGTATGTTGACACCAATTCGTGTCTTCATACATGTACTTTGGAGAATGGTGTCCATCACATTCCACCATCCTTGCTAACCCCCTGCCTCCTCCCTTTCCCTCCCACTCCTCTGCCCTATCTAGAGTTCATCTATTCCTCTATGCTCCCCCTCCCTACCCCACTATGAATCAGCCTCCTTATATCAGAGCATTTGTTTTTGATATAAGGAGGCTGATTCATAGTGGCTAACTTCATTTGGCTAACTTCACTTAGCATTATCTTCTCCAATGCCATCCATTTACCTGCAAATGCCATGATTTTATTCTCTTTTATTGCTGAGTAATATTCCATTGTGTATATATGGCACAATTTTTTTAATCCATTCATCTACTGAAGGGCATCCAGGTTGGTTCCACAGTTTAGCTATTGTGAATTCTGGTGCTATATACATTGATGTGGCTGTGTCCCTGTAGTATGMTGATTTTAAGTCCTTTGGGTACAGACTGAGGAGAGGGATAGCTGGGTCAAATGGTGGTTCCATTCCCAGATTTCCAAGGAACCTCCATACTCCTTTGCATATTGGCTGCACCAATTTGCAGTCCCACCAGCAATGTTTATACTACCATTTATAATAACAAAAAGCAAACTTATAAATATCTCAAAGCAATCAATAGGGGCTGGGGATGTGGCTCAAGCGGTAGAGTGCTCGCCTGGCACGCGTGCGGCCCAGCACGCGTGCGGCCCAGGTTCGATCCTCAGCACCACATACAAACAAAGATGTTGTGTCCGCCAAAAACTAAAAAAAATAAATATTAAAATTCTCTCTCTCTCTCTCTCTCTCTCTTAAGAAAAAAAGCAATCATTAAGGCAGATTCAAAAAGTTTCTATTGAAAAAGTATAGATGGAATTTTACTGGGTAATTTCCATTTTTTCATACACTGTAATTTTTAAAAATCACTTTTGAATTCCCTTCATTTATTACCATGCCACTTTTTGTTTTTAGCAAACATAAAAATGAATAATTACTTAATGATCTTTCATAAATCAAGCCTCTCTGTACCCTCTATTTTAATTTCCCCATAGGGTTTTTAAATTACTGAAATTGGAATCTATAATTTTCCACAGGTCTTTTATACCCAGGGAAAGAACACTACATTGGTTTAGGAGATAGGTACATATCTAGTCATCTTCTAYTACTTGGGTGATCTTAGTCAAAGCAACTTCTTCAAATTTCAGTTTTTCTCTTAATCTATACAGAATAATGACTACCTTCACAGATGATTGTTGGCTCAAAAGATAAAATTCAAAAGAACTCTTTAAAAAGCAAAAGTCTATGTAAATGAGGAATTAAGTACATAAAAGTACCCAGCACAATGCATTTTTTACTATCATAGCACTTAAGTTTTTCTAGCATCTTGTTTGTCCTTTGTTCCTTTTTTACTAATTTACTGCACTTTTTTTTAAATGAACAATCTTGAGCTCTTTGAGGTTAGAAACTACAAGTTTTGTTTTATATACATCAACATCAACCATAACGATGCACTCTATAAGTTTAATATATTCACTGAATGAACATCAGTATTGTGCTTTATATATTTGAACAGTGGTTATAAGTAAGTGTGTTTGTGTGTGTGTGTATAATCTACCAAATAACATCGTATTTTAAGTTTAAACAATCTAAAAATATTACACATTTATAAAACACAGCATACAACCTTTATATAATAATAGAGCAGTGGCTTATAAACTCTTTTACTTTAACCCATAAAAATAAATCAATTACACATCTTAATCCAGTAAAGGTATATGTACACATTTGGATTTATCTCTGTGTGTATATGTATACATAAAGACACACACATACATAACATAGACACATGCATTTATATGATGTGAGTAGATACATACCCTCACATATATATAATACACACACATATTAGTGAAACAAGTTTCATGAAGTTGTACTTATCCTGATTATAATTAATGCACCATGTCTCATGCATGCCAGGTAAGCTTTCTACTACTGAGCTACACCCTCAGCCCTGTATTTCATTTAAAAAAAAWTTTTTTATCCTGATCATTATATCAATTTCATGCTCCACTACAACTTTAAAACCATGAAATTAAAATTAAACCCATCATATAGATGAAACAGTGAGAGGAAATACCTGCTTATCAAACAATTTATTTAGAACAGAATCCTTATGGTTAGCCTGAGACAATTAATAGAATCTTGACCAAAATTAGGTTTTCTTTTGTATGGCTCATACACATTGCTTTATTTTCTCAATAATGATTTCTAATATCTTCTTTACTTGTTTATGTTCCTTCCTTTCAAAGAAGCCCCCTTTCTAAAAAGGTCAAAGAAAGGAAAACGAAAAGACAAGTCAAAGATTGGGAGAAATTATTGTAAATCATTTATCTGATAAAGGAATTAGGTCCAGAACATGCTAGAAACTTATAATAATAAAAGACAAACAATCTAATTTTTKAAATGAATGAAAGACATTAATAGACATTTCATCCAAGAAGATAAAAAAATGGCTGATAAGTACATGAAAAGGCACTCAACAAATGACAAATGATAACTTCTCATCAAGGAAAAGCAAGTTAAACACTATGAGATACCACTTTACACCTATTAGAAGGACTATAATGTATTGGTGACAGAAGAACCTCGACCCCTCATATACTGCTGGTATATGTATAAAATGGTGCAGCTTCTTTGGAAAACAGTTTATTAATGTTAAAGTAAAGAAGTAAAGCACCACTTTATAATATGGCCAGCTATTCCACAACCAAAAGAAATAAAATCACCTACACAAAGACTTGTAGGTGAATGTTCACAGCAACATTATTCAGTATAGTCAACAAGTAAAAAGAATGTTCATTAACTGGGACATTAAATAAATGAAACAGTTTCTAAATATATAATGGAATATCTTCAGCAATAAAATGAAACATAATATCAACGATACATTCCACAACAGATGAACCTCAAAAATATGCTGTTAAAAAATCACTTAAGATTACATATTGTTTGACTGCATCTATATGAAGTATCCCAAAATGACAAATCTGTAAGAAGCAGAAAGCTAATTTATATGATTGAATACTGGGGCCTGGGAATGTGGCTCATGCGGTAGTGCGCTCGCCTGGCAGGCGTGCGGCCCGGGTTCGATCCTCAGCACCACATACAAACAAAGATGTGTCTGCCAAAATGTAAAAAAAAAAAATATTAAAATTCTCTCTCTCTTTTTTAAAAAAATGATTGAAGTCTGAAAAAAAAGAGAAGGAGAGATCATTTAAGAATAAAAGAAGTATTTTAAAGCTGGATTGTGATGCTTGTGCAACTCAAAATTTACTGAATAATCACTGATTTATACCCTTAAAACCTGAGAATTAGAGCTGGGATTGTAGCTCATCAGTAGAGCACTTACCCTGCATGTATGAGGCACTGGGTTTGATTCTTAGCACCACATAAAAATAAATAAATAAAATAAACGTATTGTCCATCTACAACTAAAAAAATATTTTTAAAAAACCCTTTAGATAAAATCAATTTTGAAAAAAAAAAACCTTAGAATTTTATGATATATAAATTCTACCTCAACAAACGAGTTTTTAAAAAACCAAAAAGCTATTTTAAGAATATCCATTCTTCTGGTAGCATTACCAACCAGGGAAACTATTTTGGGTTATCTTCTTACTGAGGACCTACACTGAAATAAGAACTGTGCTAAGCGACAGATTAAAAAAAAAAAAAAAAAAACCAAAAAACTGTGTAAGCTCCTAGAACAGAAAGAAAAATCTACTAGAAGAGATCAACATATAAATAAATGTGCAGGAAAAAATCTTAACCATTATTATAACAAAGTCCACCAAAAGCTCACCTTCCAGATAAGAGGGACCAGAGAAAGGAGGAATTCATTATATATAATAATTAAGAATACTGAAAGGGGTTTTAGAAGACCTGGATGAATGTGGCTCCTTTAAAGATTATGTAAGCATAATTTCCTTGGCCTCAGCTTATTCAAGTTCAAATTGAAAGAAGGAAATGACATGAATTCTATGTTCTTATGTAACCAACCATCTTACTATCATGATAACTAAAATGTTAATTCTCCATGTAGTAAAGGCTAGAAATGAAAAAGCAAAGRATTTATACATGGGACCAACCATAAAATCCCAAATTTATTTATAGAAGAAACAATTTTCTAATTTAAAAAAATAAAAGTTTTTCCCAAACAGAAAAAMCGATTTCAAAATTAGAACAATAAGACACTAGGTTATTACTTATAAAAGTAAGCAACACTTGCTGAGCATGTATGTTCCAAACACTATACTAAAATATCTCACGGGTTTTTGCCTCATTAATCCTTACATTAGCCCTCAGAAGTTGGTGTTTTATTAATTCTCCAATTTTAAAGACAAAGAATCTGATCCCAAGGTGATTCATCTAGTTAGTGGCAGTTCTGGTCCCAGTGTAGGTTGGTCCTCAATAAATGAATAACCCAAAATAGTTATCCTACTGGGAATGCTACTAGATGAATGAATATTCTTTAAAATATTTTTCCTTGTGTTTTTTTTAATTAAAGAAAACCATTTGAGATAAAATTTATATACAATAAAACAAATTTATAGAGGCAAGAAGCAGATTAATTGTTACCTGAGGGTAGGAATGGAGACTGACTAAACATAAGTATGAGGGATCTTTTGAGAGAGATGGAAATGTTCTAAAATAGAATTATTACATTTTTACAACTCTAAATTTACTGTAAGTCACTGATCTGTTATGCCCTTAAAAACCTAGCCCATCTCAATGCAAAGCCCACACTCTTACCCACTGCTCCAATGAGCATGAGATGTACAGGATATATAATTTTAATGTGTAACTGACGACAAGAAACCTATTTAGATAAATAACCAAAAAATAAATAATAAAGTAGACAGGGGAGAAAGATCAAAAGTTGACTAAGAGGTCAGATGACAGTCCAATTGGGCTTATTTATTGCTTTACAAAGACTTACTGAACTGATCTCCTGCTGTGAATCTTGTAGGTGCTGTTGAAGAGGTTCCAGCTGAGCCTTCCCTGACTCCACACTCTCCTCCAATTCTGCTGTTTCTTGTTGCAGGCGACTTAGCTCTTCTCTAGCTTTGGCCAATTCTTCTTCATAAGTGGAGATCTGTGATTCCTGATTAGTTATTTCTGCTTTTAGAGAAGAGATCTATAATATGGAGATGAATAAGAAGAAAGGGGAATTAAAAAAGAGCTGTCATTAAAATGTTAATAATGTTTACTATTTTGGTGGTTTTTGATGTATGGTTTTGGCAGAAAAGGGTAATTGGGGAAAGTATAGAGGAGAGTTGAAGGTATAGATATTTTACTTCCAAACTATCTGGAAAAACTTTGTCTTCTACAACAGTGTTCTTCTATTTCCACTAAAGAGAGCCTGTAATTTCTGAGGAACCTTACTCCATTTCCCTCATATGCCAACTGTTGATGAGATTGCCACTTAATGAGAATAATAACAAAAGTAGAGAATATTTTCATTTTAAGCCAGGAAAAACAACTCAGGTACAGATGTAGGCAGCAATAAGTAGCCAGACATTACCAGCTGGGCCTCCTCAGCACATTTCTTTCTGACTTCCTTGAGTTGCTCCTCCAACTGTGCTTTCTGCTCATCCAGTTCATCAAGGAGTTCCTGTACTTGCTGCTTTTGAGCCTGTAGTTTTTGTAGATTAACATTTTCCCTTTGAACTTCATCTTGAAGATCCTGAAATATAAGAAAATTAATATATTATTCTCTTTGRGGGCAGGGAAAGTTTAAGTTAATTTTTAAATCCAACTTAGGAGGGGCTGGGTTTATAGCTCTTGGTAGAGGTAGAGCACTTGCCTCGCACTTGTGAGGTACTAGGTTCTATCCTCAGCACCACATAAAAATAAATAAATAAAATTAAAAAGATATTGTGTCCATCTCTAAACATATATATATATCTTTAAAAATAAATAAACAAATCCAGTTTAGGAGAAAAAAACTCTTATTGTTTTGGAAGACAACCTCCTCCACCACCATACCAGGGATTGCACCTGGGATGCTTAACCACTGAGCAACATCTCCAGTTCTCTTTTTTTTAGTTTTGAGATAGAGTCTCATTAAGTCCTTAGGGCCTCACTAAGTTGCTGAGGTTGGTATTGAACTTGTTATCTTCCTGTCTCAGTCTCCCCAGTCCCTGGGATTACAGGCATGCACCTCCACTCCTAGCTTTATATACAATCTTTACTTGAGAACTCCTTCCCTAAATTCCAGATTTAGATATCCAATATGCTTACTCAAATCTATCCTTCAGGATTGGGGATGTAGTTCAGTGGTAGCATATGTGAGACTCTGGGTTTGATCCTCAGGACTGCAAAAACAAAATAAAATTGAAAACAAAACAAAACAAAAAAGCTGGCCCCGGGCAGCTATGGGCTTCTCTAACATGTTGAAAATAGATCTCCTGGCACTTTCCCCAAAATCTTCTTTAATTTCAATCTTCCCACATCTCAGTTTTTCTAGTCAAGAAAATATGGCATCTTCTTCTCTCACTTCTCATCTCCAATACATCAGCAAATCCTGTTGCTACTTCCTTCAAATAAATGGGATTGTTTTTTGTCTTGTCCCCCACACYCCACCGGCCTCATGCCAATTTGGCAAGCCACTTTTATCTTTCTTCTGGATAGCTGCCTTCCAGCTGATAACTCTGCTTCCATTCATGCTACCTTTCTGTGTATTTTCAGCACATCAACCACTATTAAAAACCTATGCTAAATATCATACACTCTGAGGCTTGTATGTGGAAGTGAGAAAGGTGGTTGCACAGTAGAGACTAGAATAATGATTACCATAGCCTGGGAAGACCTGGGGAAGGAAAGCAAGTGAGAAAATAGACAATGAGGTGCAACTGCATAAGAGGAATTACTTTTTTGTTCTATTGCTAACTATAGTTGACAACTATCATTAAATATTTCTAAATAGCTATTAGGATTTTAATAAAATGACATGTCTGAGGTGATAAGTCAACTCCCTGACCTGGCCATTTTACATTGTATAAAGGTATTTGAAATGTCACACTGTATCTTAATAACATGTACAATTACTATATGTCTACTAAAATTAAAAATATTTCCTAAAAAATTGAAACATAGCTGGGGTGGTGTCCACACTTGTAATCCAAACTCCTTGGAAGCTAAGGCAGGAGGATTGCAAGCTTGAGACCAGTCTGGGGAAATGAGCTAGACCCTCAAAATTTAAAAAGGGCTGTGGCTGTRGGTGACATTTGTTGTCCAGTTTTCAGCTCACTGTCCACTGCCTGGTGTGGATGGGTGAAACCCAGGGCCTCTCAGTTCCAGTGTCAATGCTGTTATAGTCTAGGTTCTATATAGACAGAGACTCACTAATTTGCTGTCTTGAACTTGCGATCATCCTACCTCAGCCTCCTGAGTCACTGGGATTACAGGCATGCGCCCCTGCACCTGGCCCTGGCTTCTTTCATTTTAACATACCGTTTTCAACCTTGGCATATAATTATTTTAGACAGCTTTAAAACAGTTTATATAACATAAAATTTGTATATTTTAAGTGTACACTTCAGTAAGTGTAATAAATTTATATACCTGCGCAACAATCATAATTCACCTTTAGAATAATTCATCACTCCAAAAGTTCATCTTTAGACACTTTGCAGTTAATCTCCACTTCCACCTCGTGTTCCAGGCAATTAATAATTTGCCTTTTGTTGCTACAGTTTTGCATTTTATAGAAATTTCACATAAATAAAATCATATATGCAACCTACTATATCTGGCTTGTTATATTCAGTATAACATTTTATAGATTCATGTGTTGTTGCATGTATAAGGAGCTTATTTGTTGTTTCCCTTTTTATTGCTGAGTAGTATTCCATCATATGATGGATATTGCAGCTGACAGACATTTACTGTTTCTAGTTTGGGCTATAATATTTTTGTGAATAATAGTATACAATTATTATCTTATTTTTGGTCTATCTCCCACACAAATATAAGCAAGCAGGAATATTTGTGTTATTCACTGCTGTACTCCATAAGGATTTAGTGAATAATCAGAGATCTAATTCTTTTTTTTTTTTTTTTGGTACCAGGAATTGAACCCAGGGGCACTTAACCACTGAGCCACATCCCCAGCCCTTTTTAATATTTTATTTAGAGACAGACAAAATATTGCTGAGTTGCTTAGGGCCTCACTAAAATTGCCAAAGCTGGCTTTGAACTCACTGTCCTCCTGCCTCAGCCTGCTAAGCAGCTGGAATTACAGGTATGTGCCACTGCACCCAACTTTAAAGATGTTAATTCTTACGGGGTGTGGTGGCACATGCCTACAAATCCCAACAACTCCAAAGGCTGAGGCAGGAGGATTGCAAGTTCGAGATCAGCCTCAGCAACTTAGAACCAGTCTCAAAAATCAAAAACAAAAAGGGTTGAGGATGTGGGTGAGTGATTAAAGAACCAAAAGAACTGACAATCTTGTTTTTCGTTTTTTTGGTTTTTTTTTAAATACTGGGATTGAACCCAGTGGTGCTTTACCACTGAGTTACATCCCTTCAGCCCTTTTAATTTTATTGAGGTAGATGAAAGCAGTGGAAGAAGTAACTACAGATGTGGTAGAAAGCACAAAAGAGCTAGAATTATAAGGGGAGTCTGAAGATGTGACTGAATTGCCATAATCACATGATAAAATATTTTGAARTATTTTTTTAGTTGTAGTTGGAAACAATTCATTTATTTTATTTATTTATTTTTAGTGCTAGGTGAGTGCTCTACTGCTGAGCCACAACCCCAACCCCACATGATAAAATTTAATGTTCTTAAGGATAAGCCAAAAAAAAAAAAAAAGTGTTTTCCTCTCCTGGCAAAAAAGCTATGATCAATGCTGAAATGAGGGGCTGGGGATGTGGCTCAGGCGGTAGCGCGCTCGCCTGGCATGCATGCGGCCCAGGTTCGATCCTCAGCATCACATACAAACAAAGACGTTGTGTCCGCCAAAAACTAAAAAATAAATATTAAAAAATTCTCTTTAAAAAAATGCTAAAATGATAATAAAGGACTTGGAATATTACATGAACTTAGTTGACAAAGCAGGTTTGAGAGGACTRACCCCAAGTTTTAACAAAAAAAATTTTTTTAGTTGTAGTTGGACACAATACTTTATTTTAGTTATTTATTTTTATGTGGTGCTAAGGATTGAAYCCTATGCCTTGCATGTGCCAGGTAAGCACTCTACCACTGATTTACAATCCCAGCCCCCAACTCTAATTTTTTATATGTATTTATTTTTTTAGGTGTACATGGACACAACACAATGCCTTTATTTTTATGTGGTGCTGAGGACTGAACCCGGGTCCCGCCTGTGCTAGGCGAGCGCTCTACCGCTGAACCATAATCCCAGCCCCCTGACTCTAATTTTGAAAGAAGTTCTATGGGTAAAATGCTCTCAAACAGCGTCATATGCTACCAAGAAATCTTTCATGAAAGGAAGAATTAATCCATGCAGCAAACTTCATTACTGTTTTATGAAACTGCCATGGCCATGCCAACCTTAAGGTACCACCACCCTGATTAGTAAGCCATCATCAAAATCAAGGCAAGATCCTCCACCAGCAAAAAGATTATGACTTGCTGAAGACTCAGAAGATAGTGAGCATTTTTACCAATATTTTTAAAATGTTTTGTAGATATAGTGCTATTGCATATCCCATAGATTAAATAGTATAGTATAAACACAACTTTTATATGCACTGGGAAACCAAAAAGTTCAAGTGACTCACTTGATAGTGATATTCACTTTATTGTGGTGGACTATAATTGAAACCACCTTATTGCTGAGGTATGATTGTAACGMGTAAATATCAAGTCCACAGTTGTTTTACAGTATTGATTAGGGAAATAATGACAAGAAAAAAATGTCTGTACATGTTCAGTACACATACAACTTTTTTAAATACTTCAATTTCAATCTGTGGTTGGCTTAATTGCTAAATGTGGAACTCATGGACAGAGGGCCAACTGTAGCCTGAAAAACTACATGGTTTGAAAAATTTTTATAATTTATTATACAATATTTTTAAACCATCAACTAAAGTAATTTTATTATTTTGGATACATAACCCATTATAACATTCCTTACTTTGTTTATAAAATATTCACATAGTTTATATGTAGTAATATACTGACCCCAAAGAATTTTTTCAGTTCCTGGAGGAAAAAGATTTTTCTCTTTCCCTTTAATTAAAGCTATTCAGATCACCTTTCAGCTTTTTGCTAAGGTCCAGTGTAGTATCTGTTCCTACAGGTTTAATATCTGATACATCTTCTATCCCAGACAATACATTAAATATATTAAATATATTTTCGGAAATAGGAGATAGAATAGGTGCTTGCTCCATCCACTCCATGCATTGAGTGGACATTGCAGTAACTCCAAAAACAGTGCACACACAAAAAGAAAAAAAAAAGTTAGAGGTGGGAATAGTAAAACTATTTATCTATCCCCACCAGAAAGTATTCTAGTCTAATTTCCCATTCTGCCTCATTCCCAATTAAAAATCTAGGACTTCACATCTCTAATAATATCTAGTTTTTATGATTACATGTAATTTTGGTTTCTTTTATTGCAAATCCAATGGAAAAAAAATAAAATGGATCTGTTTTTTTAAAATTTGTTTTTGGTTGTAGAGGACATAATATTTTCATATATAT